GGGCGCCGGGGCGGGCGCGGGCCGGGCCGTGCTGGGGGCGCCGGGGCCCACCGAGCCCTGCTCCGCCGGCGGCTCCACGTCCATGGGCTCGGCCTCCCGGGCCTCCCGGGCCTCCCTGCCGGCCGCGCGCGCCTCTGCCTCCGCGCCCTCGGCCTCCTCGGCCGCCTCGCTCTCCGTGTGCTCGCTCGGGGAGCTGGCGGGAGAAGGTTCCGGAAAGTCCTCGGAGGGCGGCGCGGGCTCATCCTCGTGCACGATCAGCACCGGCGGGTTCTTGGGGCAGTTCTTCTTGTGCCGCAGGAAGTCGGCCCACTTGAAGAACTCGGCGCAGCACTGCTCGCAGACGCTGGTCTCCTCGCCCGCGCTGCGGCTCTCGGGCCCGCTGTCCGCCTCCTCCGCGCCGTCCCCCGGGGCGCCTGCAAAACGAGAGAGCGTCAGCGGGGCGCGCGGCCCGCCCTCCGCCTCGAAATTTTGCACATGGTAAAATCAATATTTTTTATTCTGTACAAATTACCCCACTTCGACATTTCTGACGTCCCAGCGTGTGTATTCTACGACTCTTTCTAGCTAGCTAATCATTTTCTTAGCACAATCCATCAAATTATGAGCCTCTATCAGTTGTGGATGCTGCTGCTTAATGGAATTCCATAGACGCCATCGATTTCCGATACCGCATACGGTCCGCAGCTGCCCTGTCTGCCGGCACAAAGCCGCCTTCGACGGGCTCATTACGGCTCCCTCTGCTATCGGGCTTCCTATTCCCAGCAAAATGAGAGATGCCTTTGCCAGTCCGCTCAGCATCGCTCGGCGCACCCGTCCGTCCCCTCCCGGACCGCAGTGGCACCCGCCAGTCCCGGACCGCAGATGCACCGTCCGCGCGGGACGTCGCAGCCGGATTGTCCTTCTGCGGGACCTTCCAAATCCACGGGCATTATTCCACCTAGGAAATTTCAGCTCAATACTTTCGTTTGTAAGTGTAACAAAGAAAACAGGAGCACTTTTTGCATCTGCTCAGAAAATGAATACCCCCCCCCCAAGAGTTGGAGCAGATCAGTCCAGCATCTTTCCATGCCTGCAACTCCCGTACACGCAGGGTCCACCTCTACATTCCGGAATTTGCCAAATCAGTATCAATATAACCTAGGCCTAAAATTAATCATGTTTAATACAATTAATTGGCTCTGTCAGATGCAATATTTCTTGGCAAAATGAACTAAAATTACATGTTATTGTTATTAGCCAATAGAGTTCAGTGGTTTGCTAACAAACTAGAAATTATATATTTAAAGTTCATTTATGTTGACATGTTTAACATGAGAATGTTGCAGTCAGACACACTTTCTGTACCTATTTTCATCCATTCTCATAGAAAGACCTAGCAAATTATATGCTTGTGCCATAGTGGAAAACCCTCTAATTGGTTACACATGTTTAATTACTGTTGTAGGCAGCCACTTCCTCTGTCTCCCCTTACCCTCTTGTGCCGAATAACAACCACGTTTAATGAACGACTCTAATTCACACCTGATCAAATAAATAGCTATACAGGAACGAGAAACCAACTTGATACGATAGCATTTCTAGCTTCCAGTTTTTAGGAAGTTGGGGTGAAAAGTAATTCCCAATAATTACTCAAGCTCTATGTGCTGGCCTGGATACTACCGGCTCGTAAGTGCTTTTTGTCAGTTTATGGATGGAGTGACAGCAACAACTCAGTCTGCACAGAGAGCAATGGCAGCTGCAAGTCAGCTTTGTTAAATGTGCATAGTTGAGCGTGAGAACAAAACGTCCTCAAGTCTGTCCCCCAAATAAGTCACTGTTATAACATCAAATGTATTTGCTAAAATGTCACCGATTTTTTTTCTTTTACAGTTTTGGAAAAAGAGTAATTCAGCACTGAGTTCAAACAGAGAAATCTAATTTAAAAAAAAAAGTCCTGTAAAAACACATAGTTCCTCCACTGGAAAACGAAAATATTTTTTGAGGCCAGTCTGTGACTCTCCATGAGGCCATTATATCCAGGTAATTTATACATGCCTTTAAAAAATTATTGGCAGTGTTCAATTAGCATTTTCTTCACTGGCTAAGCCATTTGCAAGGGAAAAGAAGTTGGAGCTTGCAGCCCATAAAGCCTGCTAGACTTGCAAACTAAATTCGGTGCTGTAGATCAGGCTACAGCAGGAGCCTCCTTGCTGTGTGGAGGAAGAAATGCGACAGGCATCTGCAAGGAGGGTGACTGGCTGGAAGCAAAGACACAGCTGATCTATACTGCAGATAGGCACATCAACAAAATAAATGCTCGGAGTGCTCAGCTCTGCCCAATGTACGCAAAATCTAATTTTAAACCTGCTAAGGTTATGGAATAAGGCAAAAACAAACAAACAAACAAAGACAACAGCCTAAAATCTTCAGGTAAATAATGTCTTAATGATTGATAAGAAGTAAGGACTATCTCAAATTCTAGTCATGTATTCTAGGAATTATTACAAAAACGCAAAGAATTTTTATTTTTCAATTTCTTTTTAAGAGTGGAATGGTATGCAGACCTACGTATTAAAAAAAAACTAAGTGGCCATTAAAAAGTTCATCTGCCCTAAGCAATCAGATATATATAAAAATTTATTATAACTAAACAAGGAAGAGAATATTTTAAAAAGTTTTCCAATATTTTTAAGCTATGAATAAAAAGTATTACGGAAAATCCCAAGAATTAAAAATTGCTAATTCCTTGAAATATTTTCTACACTTAACTTCTTGGAGGAGATAAAATGTATAGCTTATATGGTATACAAAAACTTTCACACAGTATATAAATTTAAAATTTTATACAGTATATATCTTACTAAAAGAATATTTTTTCTTTATGACTGTGTATCGGACAGTTCACTGAAAGCATGCTTTAAACTTAGGTTGATTTCTGGATCATTTAAAGGGAGTTCAGTGTTGAAAGAATTAACATAACTATAAATAAATTATATTTTCAGAAATGAACATTTCCCAGATTTTCTTTGTAACAAACTATAACATGTGACACAGAGAAATACCACTTTTGCTTTTCACAAAGATCTTGTGCTTTTTTCAAAGGTCTTAACCAAAACAAATTTCTATTTACCTTAATGATTTGCATTTTTACATTCCCATTAGTTTTTTATGTGTTAAGTATTTCTAGAGTTCACTTCCAAATTCAAGGAAGTTGGGAAGTGTTCCCATAGGTAATTTCACTTTTTCTCATCAGTAGGTTTGCTAAATTACAAGTTTTTATCAATTGCAGAAAATGTGTATAGAATATTTTGGCACTTTCTGTCAAATAATAAAAATCATTTTGTTTAAAGCAATTATACATGATAATTACCTCAATACAATTCAGATATTCTTGTCAAAGTAACATAATCTTCTATATAGTTCTTAAAAGTTGAAGAAGGAAATTGTGTAAAAAAAAAATGGCATTCTGACTATTTGGACCTGTTAACAGTTTATTTTGTTAAAGAACCGAAGGAAACAGGCAATTGTTGGATTTTATAAGCAAAGCTCAATTATAAATTTGACTTTTGACTAAAACATACCTTAAAAACTACAATTAGTGAAGGAAAAAATTCTTTTCATACAATTTAGATTTATTTTGGGCAATTAGAATTGCCATGTATAATTTCTATTAGCATTTGCATAAAATACCAATAGCATGTTTACTTCCACGGTTATTCTCACCTGCTCAAGCTATGACTGTTTCACTACCAAAATGTGATTGTGATAATCGTTCCATGAAAGTTATCAATAAGGCCAAATTTCACAAAACAGTCTTGAACAAAAAGAATACAGGGAAAAAACTGTCATATATCACATACAAAATTGAAATTTTGTCTGCATACTTTAAGAATGTTATTAAACAACAATAATAAGCACTTCAACTGAACTGATTTGTAGAAAATAAAGTGAGCATATTTCACTAAGGATAGAAATCTTAGAAGTAGCAAGACACTTCATTGACAAGCAGAGTCAGAGTGTCGACTTCTGATGCTTCTGAACAGAGTGAAAGAATTAAAACAAGTTATTATAACCTGCTTCCACGGCTCTTCCCGTGATGATGATCAAATGCACATTACAGTGTGTACGTGCTAATACAGCACTTTTTGCTTATTTTTAAATGCTTTCTGCAACAAGAAAACCCATATGGGAAAAATCTGAATGCAGTTCCCAATTTCATCATATAATTTCTAAAGCACTTTATCCTGCCATTGTTTAAAGCCAATATTACGTCAGATTCAAATGTATTTAACCATCTTTTCATTAAACTTAAACTTACATTTTTAACTGGCCTGTATGCTCCAAAAATAGAAGTTATTACATCCATTAGTTAATATGGCCAAAGTAATTTATTTTTTGCACACTGTTCCACAACTAAGAGATTTGAGACTGTAAATAGGCAAGGGATTAAACTGTAATTAGGCAGGAATCTTGTAGTATGTAAGGATTATATTAGGACAAGTTAAGAAAAATGCCAACCAATTCCCCAAGTGATATAGCTAAGCCAACACTCTTCCCGTGTTGGTGAGCAGGCATGTTGGGCAAGACTACCTTGAGAAGGTCCCACACACATTTGCTGCTCTGGTTTCATCTGAATGTGAGGAAGGTACCGGAAGCTGCTCTGGGTCACCCTCCTTTGCTGATGTCAATATGTATCAACCCCCTGTTGCCACGGTTACCTGCGCCATGGAGACTAAAAATTATAGTTATTTCAGTATAGTTTACAGCTATCCCAACATTCGCTATTTATGTTTAAGATTCTCGGGGTTTCTGTCTCTATCACCGTGCATACGTTCTTGAGCAAGTTTTCTGTTTCTCAGTTGTACTGAAGAGGGGAAATGTCCCACCAGCCATTTAGAAGAAGCAGCTAACAAAAGGGCAGCTTCAAAGATGATAGTTTTTTAAAGACATGCATTTTTTCCTGCTCACTAATATACACCTAACGCCTAACAGAAGCGTTCCTATTCTTAGGATTGACTCTCTCAGGGCGAAAAGAGCCTCTCAAACTGTTCCACTGTTCTCTCAGCTTTAATTCCTGGCCTGTTACAGAATACATAGGTATTATGTTTTCACTGTCTTCTAAAAATGATGTACCAGAAGATAGGCAGAATTTTTAGCCCTGATGACCTTTTTAAAGGCACAAGTGAAAAACATCATGGTGATATATATAAGAACACTTGAGACATAATGTTTCTTTAAAAATTCCAAACTACAGTTCTTAGCAAGGTTTTTTAATTTTCTCTTTTCAAGGAGTACAGTGGCTTGTAAATAAGCTAACCACTTACAAAGTAGGAGTAAAATAGGTATTCTATGATTTTATCCATCTCAAAAGCTCACCTTTATTCTGCTACACTTTTGCAACACATTTTAATTAATTACAATTAACAAAAGGAGA